ACAAAAAAAGTACTTGTTTGTAAAAATTGGTTTTTCAATGTCACAATTTCCGATTGGCTTTTCATTTAAAATTACGGTTTAAAGAAAATATTTTGAAAAAGTTTTAGGTCAACAAGGTTAATCACGCAACTTCGAAAAGTAACAAACACGCTAGGCTTCGGCGACGTTGATTTATTTAACAACAAAAATATTAAGTGTTGAGTTGTTAAGTGTATGTGTGTGAGTGTGTGCGCCTGTGTGTGCGCGCGCGCGTGCGTGTTTATTACATACATACTTGTGCACGCCGCGTGGCTGGGGATGTTGTGTTTTCTTTTTCGATTTTATGTTGTTCATTTTATTCATATTTATGAATATAAGCACGGATTTATATTACGTACAATATAAATCCGTGATATAAGTTAGCAACAGATGATCGATACTTACATATATTTCCGACAATTAACACTTTGATTACAACGCCTATGTGCGCCTCAAAAATAAATACTGTTTTAGTGTTTGGCATCCATATCAAAACCTTTCTCAAAGATCCTAGCATTTAAAAAGTTTTAAGGTCAGCAGCCTGTACATATGCTTTCTTTGGGGATTCTTATTTTCTCTATTTTACATTTGTAAGTATCATCTATTGCTAACTTATATTCATAATTATGAATAAAATGAGCAACATGAAATCGAAAAAGAAAACACATGTATAAACACGTTTTTCACTTAACATGCGGAAGCGTAAATGATGTAAAATTTAAACAAATATATAAGCATTTCAAAATAGCAGCTCCTGAAAGGGTTATTATAATTAAGGGTTTAACATATGCATTGATTAATGCAGCATTATTCATATAAGTATGGACACGGATTTATATTACAATATAAATACGTGGTATGGAATAAAAGTTAATTGTAACTTAACACTTTTACATGTATGAAAATGTCTTTGAAATGTAAAAACGTGTGTTTTAAAATCTGCACACGAAAATGAATGGTGGGATACTACTCGGACCATTTTTTGCAGAAAATCCGTCGACTTGAAGGTAAAATACAATTTTATTATAAGAAAATGTAAGAGTATAAAAAAATCATACCCACGTTTAGTTATTTACCAAAACATTTAGAGGTGTTCTAAGTCAAATTTACCACAGTTTTTAAATTTTATGTTGCACCGGTAAAAAATTAGAAAAAAAAATGTTTCAAGGATTTCAGAAAAAGAAGCCTAAGCTTTCACATCACGGATCAAAAGAGGCTGATGATATATACGTAAGTCACATAAGATCCTAACAAAGGCTCTATTGATAAATTTGTTACTGTTTCAAACAGTGAAAAAAGCATGAAGTCTAGGTCAAATCGGATAGTATCAATTCGGATATTTTGTACTAACTTCAGATCATGTATGAACTATGATGTAACCGTTTAATTTAATTACGTACATGTCCTGACTTGCATGACATTTAGTGACCCGTGACCTAAATGCTTTTTTAAATTGAAAACTTGGCTTTGTAATTAACAGATTAATATGAAAAAGGCAAAGCCTCAAAGCGAGCTCGATGTACTTTTTACGTGAAATAGTATGAAGTTATCGCTCATTTTTATTTCAAATGCAGTGACGAGTGCGTGTGACGTCACACGTACTGTATTAAATATGGCTCAGCCCCTGTCGTGAAATGAATAACGAGTTTTGAAAACGTTTATAAAACTTTGTTTATTTTATTTCACTCTATAATTTTTCAAGCGAAATAAAGATTATTGTTAGTGAAATAAATGTAAAACTTAAAACGTTTGCGACATTAAAATAGCGTACTTGATTTGTTTGTTTTGCACGTGCTGTTTGGCGCTACATTGTGACGTCACGTAAACAATACTTAAAACATCTGTACAGCGTTAACGACTGAATAAAAGATATTGGTATTCGGATTCATTTTCTTAGTTAGACTATTTTCTTTCATTCTAGATAGTTTTCACAATAAAATTCGACAAAAAATTGTTTTTATTTATCAGATTTCAAACAAAATGGCGCCTTCGACTCATTTTTTTATCGACAGCTTCCGTTATTCTGGTTCCCTGTCCAATTATGGTTCCCATAGACGTGCGCGGGTGACCAGTCTACACATCCGTTTTCAGTCAGAATTCCTCAGTTTTTATCGTTATCTTTAAATTCGAAAGGTTGCGATGTGTCCAATTCGGTACTTTGGACGAAAGTTTTCAAAACCATCACTTAGCAGGTACTCGCGTTACCGTAAAGCTCGCTTTGCGAGCAGGCCCTTCGGGCCAGCTCGTCAAGCTCGCTAATAAAAAAGGAAAAGCCTCAAAGAAAGCTCGATTTGCAAACAGGACGTTTCGGCCCGAAACCAAATCGGCCCCTGTGCAAAAATCGGCCCCTCGACGTATTGGCCCTTTCCGCGAGACGTTTCGGCCCTTTTCCGCGAGACGTTTCGGCCTTTTTTTATAACAGTTGAGTTTAATTTAAGTATAAAAGAAATTTTTATACTTAAAATCGTTAAAAATGATTGATGGCACACAAACAATTATGAATTTTTAATCCTTAATTGAGAATCCATTATAGATTTATCAATCGCTATTTAGATAAATGCTTTTTTTCAAGGTGTAACAATAAATACACCTCAATAAAGACACTTTATCTTTAATTTATAAGACAGTTGACAAATGCAAAAACTTTTTGATTAACAAAATTAATTACAAAAATACTTCAAAAATCATTTTCTTTTGATCACTATGAATCAAACACGTTAAGGTAAGACTTATTCTTAACTTAATATGGGGCCGATTTGGTAAAGGGCCCTTATGTCCGGGGCCGAAACGTCTTGGGTAATTTGGGGCCGATACTTCTTGGGGACGAAATGACTCAAATCCTCGATTTACTTTAACGGTGAAATAGTATAAAATAATCGTTCATTTTACATTTTCCGTTTTAAAATTGTCATTCGGTATTTTATACACTGCTTCCGTTTATTCTGGTTCCCTGTACTATTATGGTTCCCATATAAGTGCGCAGGACACCAGTCTACGCTTCCGTTTTCAATCAGAATACTTTGGCTTTTATCGTTATCTGGTATACTCAACATCACTAAATCCGCGTCATCACTTATTTCACGGTAATGGCATACTTTTTTGTAACCAGACTGCCGTGTTAAAATTGGTCAGAATTGACAAATTTTATTCAAACACCTAAACAACAAAGTTTTTGTGCAAAATATTTTTAATCTATAGATTTTTATGTAAAACAGAACAACATTTTACAAAATTCTGCAAAAAGCAAGAATAGTCCATTAAATTTGTGCATACGTCTGAAACAATCATCATTTTCTAAATGTTCCTGTTTGTTGAAAAAATAAATTTGAGTTACAATGTAAACTAAACATTATGCAAAATAAAATGTAGCAATTTTAACTGAAACATGAAAAAAATGAAATAAAACACCATTACCGCGATTTAAATGATGAAATACTATTTTCAAAATGGCCGACATATGGTCAACGTCTAGCTCATTTAAAATGATTTTGACTAAATATAATGTTGTTTCCTTGTGTCATACAGCAGAAAATACCTATATGTTACAGCTTATGACAATTTTTGTACCATAAGTTTTAAGTGTTGTTTTCTTTCTTGCTTCAAAGTGTTAAGTACCGTGAACTAAGAGGAGCACAGTATGCTTCGAAAAGTTGCGATGTGCCAATTTAGTACTTCGGACTTAAGTTTTCAAAACCATCACTATCTAGCAGGTACTCACGTTACCATAAAGCTGGCTTTGTGAGCAGGTCCTTTGTTTGGGCCAGATCTTCGAGCGTGCTATTAATATCAGTGTATTTATTCAAAAACGGACATTGTACCAAAAAGCATGTTGGATTCATATTGTTTTGAGTGATGATTCATAAATTATTTTATTGTATCTATTAAAATTGTACAATACTAAAAAAATAGTGTATGGTTGGGATCGGTCTGATACTAAAAATATATGCTAGAATTCCCAAAATTTAACTTCTGCGAGATTTCATTTGAAAGCAGTCTCCATACTGGTAAACAGTCTCTACATATTTCCCTAACTAATAGTTGAGTACACTAAATAGTAAGTTACAATATAGTTATACAAGGCCTTAAGCTAAAAAAGATGTAGTATTTCAGTGCATACAAATTAAAATGTACTGGTCACCAATTGGGTGAATTGTAAGTGGGCAAATCATTATCAATTCTGTACAAATTACTCATGAAGTTGATGGATACTTATAAGAACTAAAGGCTACAAAGGTTTTGATATGCATGTAGATTCTATCAAGCTCTTGAAATAAATTGAAATTTTATTACAGCACTCATCAAGTAATGAATCTGGGTCACTGAAGGACAGTAAAGATGGCAGTGAAAGGTTTAAGCAGCTGTATGAAGTGTATTTTGTTGGCATTGTTCCAGATATTGTCATGAGTCATTCTATAACACGAGACAGAGAGGCCCAACTGGTGGATAGAATAGAGGAATCTCAGGTTAGTACCATTATCTTACTTTAGAATATCGGAAAAACAGTGTTATTTGGTTAGCATGAGTTTTAACCTTAAAATACAATTGTCTATACATGTATGTCACAGCAGAAACATAAATGTTATCTATGTCTCTGGTCACAGTAAAACCATTATTTTTCTTTTAATTATTGAATTTATTTTGTACTTTGGTAATGGCTGACATTAAAATCAAAATTTGTTAATACCTAGGACTTAATTGAAATTTTCTGAAGTCCCAGTTAATCACATGAGGTCATTGACAGTTGTTCAGAAAACTAAATATAAACTACATGAATTTTTTGAAACAAGGGAAACAACTTACTCTTAGCTGAATATTAAACTTGTGTAATTCAAATGATCTTGATTCTGTTTTACAGATTGAGGGAAAGTTACCAATATCCCCACAGGAAGATGATAAAGTAAAGATTAGTGTCTCAATACATGGTGTCAAAGTCTTAGACATGAAAGCACAAGTATTAATTGTTTTTCAAAGGGGAGCGGTGGCCTAGTGGTTAAGGTGTCTGCCTCTCAACCCAGAGATCATGGGTTCGAGCCCTACTCGGGTTACGACCATGTTTCTTCATATGACACCAGTACTGGTTGGTTCCAGGAAGCGGACTCGAAAGTGATTAATATAAGTTGCAAGAACTTGTTTCGCAATCGAGCTTAAATAAATACGTTTAAACCAATTGTTTTTCTTATCCTCATGCCGAATTAACTCTTATAATCCATGCTCAGTAATTTAAAGAAAAATATACATTATAGATTTTCTAAAGAGATTGCAATCATATTACAATAATAACAGCATGAGGGCCTGTCTGATTATAACAATATGGAGAGCTGCTGGTCAACTGATCTTAGGTTCTTGATTGACCAGTCACAATGTCTTGTTTCATATTTCAATATGGTAAACTACAGTATCACAAATGTCATTCCTCTGGTACTATGAAATTGAGCAATGAACTTAAGTTTGCAGCTAACAACAGAAATCGGAATAGTTCTTATACAGAATAAAAAAAATTATGTTTACACATGTAAGTGACTGAATCGGAAGTTATTAGCTATCGGATGTGCAGGCTGGTCTGGATCCATGCTGGTCGCAAAAGCACTATGTTGGTTTTGTCGTGACGCAGCTCAAATTACTTGAAATCATTAGCCTTTCAATGCCAAAATTGAATGACATTTTGGATATTTAATCAGCCGCGAGTTCAAATCTCTTCGGTGACTTTGGATTCATTCATGTGAGGAATCTATCCAGCTAGCTTAAAGAAGATTAGTGGTTCTACTCAGGTTCCGATGTATGCCTGAAATATTGCATTGTTTTATGACTAACCATAATTATTGGAGTGAATTAAATAAATGTAGCCAAATGTTATCTTTATATATGTAAAGGAGGATAGTACAAAATAAAAATTCCCAAGTATGAACAAGTTATTGATAGAAACTACCTAAAAAAATAATATACATACTAGATTTCTGGCTTGTGACTAAATTTTCTGAGTCTCATTGAGAAGTAATATTTTGCAGGAAGTTTTGCAGCGCCATCCATTACATACAATAGCACAGGTTGTACAGTACAGTGACGGAGGAAGTGTGAATAACATTGCCTTTAAAATTGGAAATGTCAACAAATCTGTGTTCAGTGCATATGTGTTTGAATGTCTTTCAGAGGTAATACCCATAATGTTTATTTCTTTTTATTATTATTATTTGAATAGTTTCATAATTATAATATCATATACATGTAATGATGTATTATATCATTTTCATATAATTTTATAGTATAAGTTGTCACCTTAGTGCAGTAACAGGTTAACATCTTTTAAATTTAATAGGAGGTAACCCGTTACTGTACCAAGGTGACAAAAATTGTTATTCCTCATTTGGATGATTAAATGGACTCCACAATGTCCAAAGAAATAAAATTTAGAATCTGAACATAGATCAAATCAAAGGTGGCAGAATAATATGCAAAACATTATATATAAATATACTTTTTGTACAATATTAATCTGATTTCAGTTAAAAGTTAAATGCTTTTAATATTTTTTGGTCATTTTTCACAAAATAATTATTCTGAAAAAAAAAATCATACTGGGTAATTGATTGAAAATTTGACATACAAGTTATTGGTCTATATCGACATATACATCAAATGATTCGTATATTTAAAAACGAGTACTGGTCAGGGACCATCAACCGGACACTTTTGAAAACACTTACAGTCCTGTTATGATTAAAACATCAGGGGTGAAATGTCTTTAATATTGACTGGCAGAGAAATTATAATGGACAGAATTCAGAGTTATCACACTTACAATTTGGAGTGAAAGCATTACTAAATATTTGTGAAATTTATCATCAGGAAAATATTTGGAATTTATTGTTTTGATTATCTTGCTTTATAATTAGATTTGTTCTTTATATGTACATATTACATAATGCATCTCCAATCTTATGATGCTTGCCATTCATCTGAACATTTTATTTAATTGTACTTTAATTTTAAAAAGAGACAGACACAATTAGATGTTATATTATTATAATTATGGGGGATAACATTTAATTTTTAGCAAACCATTTCAGAGAAGTCTCTCCACTTAGTTCAGCAGGAGGGAATGGGATTATTTATGCAGGGGTCATTGGTTCGATCATCAGCCAAGGCGTAATTTCTCTGTGTCAGTTGATCTTGAACATTTTGTCTAATGGTCATATGTGGCTCATTGCTGATTCAGATATTTGAGAATAGTAGTTGGTCACTTGAGGAAAAATTGGTAATTACTGGTTAGTTATCCAGGAAAGCCAGTTGGGTGAATCAGTTGCTGAGATACATCAGTGGCCAAAATATGAGTTAAAATCAGCTTGAAAACAAGAAGAAAACAAACAAACCAGTTCAGAAAGTTAACAAGATAAAATGAATTATCAATTATGCCAATTATCAGTTTTAATGATGATTTTTTTCTTCTTCAGGAACAAGCACAAATGATTTGTCAAAATGTGAGAGCAATGTTCGACAAAATCACAGAAAAGAACAGATGAAGTTAAAGACATTATATTTTACGATAAAGCTTCCTGTGATAATAGATATAGGCAATGGTGCTTACTTTTAATAAATGCAATATTACATTCATAATCACAATCAATGTGAAAACTTGTTTATTGTCAGAAACAAAGTCATATAATATATATGTATATTGTATTGTTACTGTGATTTTGACTGAAGCCATTGGTGACTATCTTTTTTGGAAGATTTGACTATGCTGGTTAGAGCAACATTAAGTGTGAAAATAAGTGCTAAAATGACTCAAGTATAATTATGTTAAGAAAACATTATCTGAGTAATTCATTGGAACAGTTTATGTGTAAACCAAATTAAGCATATATATTATGGTATTTACATGACTTGGAGCTTGGTAAGCATTAATTTTGGTCTCACACAACCTGTCATCAATTTGTATATGTAATTATATTTTATTTTCTACATTGCAGGAACATGTATTAGGATTATTGATTAAATGATAGGAAAAATGAAACTATGTTTAATGTAATGGTTGGGACTGATAAAATAATATTAAATCCTATAGAGCATGGCTGAAAGGTTTTGCTCACTGATGAATGTGATTGATATGATAATATTATAACCTATTGACTATGGCTGAATTTTAATGGTCACTAATTCTAATGATGTAACTAGTATGGTAATATTCAAGCCCATGGCTAAGTGGCTATCTTTACTGATGAATATGACTGGTATCATAATGTTTCAGCCAATTGATTATCGCTTAGAGGTTATAGTCACGGATGGATCTGACTGATAAAATGACATTAAAGCCTATTAACCTATTAGAAGTTATGACTTAGAAACACTTGCTTCTCATTGTTGTAGAGTCAGATCTCTAAGTTTTCCTATATTTAATGTGAAGAGCTATCCAATCAGCTTACTGACATAAAAGTCAGTGGTTTGAATCAGGCACTCGCTTCCGCATAAGTTATTCAGAGAGAGACTAGTGCTTTGTTCTTCAAACAGTATAGCTGGAATGTGTCAAATATATATGTATATAAATGTACCTTTAAAGTGTTGGTGTGAATGACATCAAATTATAAAAGCTTATTTAAATTATCATATAGTAATTGTTTAAAGTTATAATATAAATAAATATCTGTTGTTTTCAAAGACATAAATGTAATGGAAACCTAACAAATGCAGGACACTAGCCAATCTCTCATGAACTTGACAATCTGTCATGAAATTTCAACTGTTTCAATTATAGAAGAAAACCCTGAAAAGTTTCAAAATGAAGCATTCATAAATCTAAGTGAAACAAAATTCAATATGTGTTGCTTGTGTATTGGTCTTTTTAGGTTTGTTATGATGTGGGTTCATGTGGGTTATTACTTGTATTACACTTTAAATGTTTATAAACTATTACGATAATATTAGTTATGCACATCTATGGAAATATCTGTTTTGTATTTGTATATATAGAAAATATATATTTCTATTTTTACACTTGTTATTTATAGCAAATAATGTAAATAAGTACAATGCTAATTAAAGGATAATAAAAGAGAAAATTTTATTTGAGTTGATCTTTTGTGGTGTTTTAAAATTGATTTATAAGGTGTTATATAAATAATAACAGTAATGAGAGAAATTGTAGACATTTTAAGGATTTCCCAATGATGTTGTCTTGTAGAATTTTTTCCTACAATATTCTTCATCAGAATGACAGATGTATTTGATTTGAGAAATAAGAAAAAGTCAGGAAGTTAAAAAATACAATGAAAAGTGGAGATTATTTTTAGATTCTTATATTTGAAAAAACTTTGAAAATGCTATTTCAGAAAAGTACACTTTTCCCTCAACTACTTTTTAATTTCCTGTAAATTCAAACTTATATACATGTATTGTAGCTATCATAATTGACAACATTTTCTATGAAGTTCATTATTAAAATTATCTCCTCTATTACAATTTTGCTGAAAATTTCTTGTTTACAATAGAACTAAAGCTATTAAAGGGATAAAGTGACAGAGCCATAAATCCCTGGTCATATTTTTTAAATATCTTTCTTGAAATTCTTGAAATTTTCTTCTCTCAGGAAGTGTAATATACTTGTCAGGAAGATCTCAGACTTTAATTGTTAAAGTCCATTGGAAGATATATAATAACAATATGATATTAAAGTGATTAATTTTAAAGGGACTCCACTGAAGGTGTTTTTTTTACATGATAGGACTGTAGATTTGGGTGCCATTTGACCAGTAAATTATGTCAAAAACTTTAGATTATTCCCCTCACTCCATTTTCATTAAAAAGTCATGCCTCCTGTTTTGTAAAATGACCAAAATGAAAAGCATTTAAATGCCTTTTATTAATACAGACCCTTATCGTTCTATCTAAATCGTATGTATCACAAAATTTTACTATCCAGCAGTGGAGTGCACTCAGAGAGCTGATGTTGATTTGATTGATTCATTTTGTTTTTTAATCAAATCATTTTATTCTATCTGACATTCTATTTTGTTCAGAGCATATCATGAAAACTTTGAAAACTACAAAAAAATGACAGTAAGGTGTTGTCATACTTTTTTTTTGAAATTAGTCGTTTAAGACCTATATTTAATTTTCACAATTACTATTTTACACGAAGACATATTATTTGGACTACCTTTGATATTACCGATACCATCCACATTGCACAACCAAAGTTCGAAATATTTGTTTATGATTATCTTTAAGTGCTACAGGGACATATCTAAGAGACTGCTGGCAGAATATAATACCTACTCTCATTGTGGAAACTCCTTTATAATAATGACGTCGAATAAAAAGTATGCAAACCGATTTAAAATTATCAAATTTCGCGCGACAAACGAAAGTGAAAGTAAAAATTTTATGAATTTCAATTTCATCGACTATATTATCTTGTTTTAAAGGTTTTAGTGTTAGGTAGCACTCCACACTAAATTTCAAGTTTCTGCCGTCAATGTCCTACAAGCAATATGTCTGATAAATCTGATCCCAAACTACACAACCTGGAAAAAGAAAACACATTTTGTTAAGAACATGTCTTAACATTGCAAATCTATAATGAAATCATCCCATGTGCAACAGTCAGACAGTTAAAAAAAATCCTATTCATTCCGTAAAAGCCAAAAATATACAGTGGACCGCAGAGCTCCAGATAGCGTGCGTATAAGCGTAAAATACGCATAGAAAATCTAAAATACGCATCACTTTCAAAATTCATGCGTCACAGTTACGCACAACAAAATGAAAATACGCTCGTATGTCAAAATTTATGCGTAAAAGAATAGAAGTGTAAACATTTGATATGTAGAAAGAAAATGTTTTGAGCATTAAAATACAATATATTTCCATTTTAATGCATTGAAAACTAAAAATTCTGTTGTCAACAACGCATGTTAAAGGAAATACAGAAGGGAGGTAAGTTCAGGTAACTCCCGTAGATCAACCTGTAAAATTATTGATGAAATTTGTGCAAGATAATCATCGTAGGAGTAAACACAGTATTAAGTTTGTTTAGGCATCTATTGACATGCTTATACCTCAATATAAACAAAAATATATTTTAATTTCTTTAACTTTTGTTGTTGGAACAAAATAACATGTTTTTCCCCTGCAGTTTTGTACTCAATATTTTCGTAACCAGTCTACAGTTACGGACAATTTTCTCTCAGACCAATACTTTTTTTTAAGGAAAGATAAAAAAAATCTTGTTTATGTTTCTTTAATTCTAATTTCAACTATAATTGTTCAAACTGGAGTACATGATAAGGTACATGACAACAGAAATAAAGAAAGAAAAATATTGACTCCTAGAAAATAAAATAACTTCAGGGCTTTCACTAGTGGAAGTTTGGGAGTCATTTACTCCTTCATTTTGGCCTGTGACTTCTCAAAATCAATACGTTTCCTTCTTTAACTATATAATGTGACTTCCAATATCAGAGATTTTGAAGTTTTTGACTTCCAAATTTTGAAAATGGAAGCCCTGATAATTTTGCTGTGTATCCTAAAATTGAGTTCCAGTATACTCTGGCAGTCTGACTTTACATGGCATGTTTTGTATTGTTTCACATTAAATCAGTATTTAATTTGTAAAGGTTTTTCTAAAAAAAAGAAAAAAAACAAACAAACAAACAAAAAATCAATAAGTTTAATTTGTATATAAAAAATGCAAAATGTTTTTTTGACAGATTTTACCCCTTATGTTTTTCAGAATTTGCATTTTACCCCTCACTCTAAATTTTGAAGGGTAAAAACCCCTTGGCCAAAAAAATTATCTGGAGCTCTGGGACCGAGACCCAAAACAACATAATTTGTCCCTCTGGCAAAACATACCTGCAAATATATGTGCTACAGAAACTCTGTCACTGCTTTAGTAACTCCCTATCACAGGAACTTGAAATTCTATCAATATTAATGATAATATCCAAAATATACCCCCTATACTGGCATGCGAGCAGTTCCCGTACAAAAATCATAGTAACTTAAACATTATTTTTTATTACGCTCACTCACCAAAATTTGAATGTTACACATCAATATTCGGCTCGTCACACAAATCGTGGAAATTCCATCATGTTCTAAACATAGAATAACCCTTACTTATGAGGCCTCATATGGGGTACCGAAATTATCAATTATTTTGTATAAAGAGAAGTAGTTCCCGTACATAAAATCTAACCCATTATAATTATACAATTTTATTATATCGGACCTATTTTTCATTTACAATTGTTGAACAGACCATTATCTAAGAGATAAATAGATGTAATTCAGGAAATAGAGCGTAGACTAAACGCGGGTATCTATTACCCGGTACCGTAAGCCCAACGCATTCACAAGCAATAGCATGCTTGTATGCATGATATTTTACGCATCAAAGCCATAAAATTATTATATATAGTAATATTGGTCAACATTCTGATATTTAAACAAGTTTTCATCACATTGCCTACTTATTTGTAAACAAGTGGTATTAGTGGAAAACCCTTTAACAAGCCTCACGTGTAAGTATTTTTGCGCATGCGCGCAAGGACGGAATCCCCCAGAGAAAACAAGGTCACGTTTTGACGACGCACAGGTGAAAGTGATTTAAAATGAGACTTTATATACGTACTGCCGAACTGACACTTAGATTTTGTCTCGTTTATGTATCTGCTTGATTTGAAATGAATTTTTAAAGAATGCAAGTAGAAATCAAGCTTTTAAATGAAAAATACGGGTACTGCTTCTGTACGGGAACTGCTCGCATGCCAGTACATTATGTATACTGTATAGGGGGTATATTTTGGATATTAATATTGATAGAATTTCAAGTTCCTGTGCTAAATACTGTATAGGGGGTATATTTTGGATATTATCATTAATATTGATAGAATTTCAAGTTCCTGTGCTCCCTATGCATGCAAAATATCACAAATAAATAGGTGCTTGGCCTTGTAGATATTTTGCTATTGCTGAAAGTTTGTACCCCCTGTAAAATTACTTGTTTTTCACATAGGGACTAGGCACGTTGGGGTGATAGTATACAAAAGTAAAAACTAAAAAAAAAAATAAAAAATCACCTCATGTATAATATATAGTCTATACTGTATAGTTTTTTTTTTAGTTTTTACTTTTGTATACTATCACCCCAACGTGCCTAGTCCCTATGGTATACACGCATATAACAACAACGCTTATAAAATATACTAATTATGCTTTAATTTTTCAAGTAACAAATAATTTCACTATGGTACATGTATATGTTAATTTAAGTGTAAATATTTGACCCTATGCCAAATTTTTATGAAAATAATATTAATATTCCGTATTCTTTTCATATTCGCGAATATGAATTCATATTCGGTATTTAGTCATACCCTTGTAAACGCAGGCTGTCCAGCGTCCTTAAAATTCCTAAAAAATCCTAATTTTTTTCAGTTTGGCTAAAATTCCTAAAAAAATGAAAAATTCAAAGGGAATTCCTAAAAAAGCCCTATTTTTTCACTTAAATTCCTATTTTTTTTTCATCTTTTATGATAAACATATCACGAAACAACCATGTTTCAATCACAACTTAAATTCGAACATAGTCAGTGGAGCTGATGTCATGTCTGACTAAATTGCATAAAGTCCCATGTTGTATTTACTCAACTCCTGCAGAAATGCCATACTTGATTAATTACCAGATGTTATCAGAAAAATAATAAGAAACTGTTTGTTTTAAATAGAACAATGAAAATTGTTTAAAATTGTGATAAAAATTTTTCCAAGGAAGTTACATTTTTATTGGCTACAGTCTCAGTTTTACCATTTACCTCAGTCTTAGGTGTATTTAAAGCAACTGTTTACATTATGAACCACTAAATTTCATCAAACTTTATGTAGGGGTCCTTATTAATAAAATCTTAATTTGTAATCAAGTTATTTTCAAGTGATGACTGTAGAACAGATCTTTGGTAATTGATACCAGCTTGCAGATCTAGACAATTTTCCATTGCTAATTATAAAATGGTAAGGTAAACTGGCAGTAATGATTGGATGCTTTAACCATGTTGCTTCCCAATTAGGGTACTAAGAAGTGAGATATTCAGCTGTCCGTTTTGTACACATTAACATGTACTGAACATATGTTATAACATATAATGCAAGTTTTTTTTAAAATCTGGAAAAAAACTGTTGAAAATCATTCAAAACACTGACACTGTTGTGAAATTTCTACAATTTTAGTAGCCTGATTTTTTTATCTTGAACAAATTCTTCATAGGTGTATACCCTGCTGTTTGAATTAAAGTTTTAATATTCCTGGGAATGATTTGAGTGGGTCATACTGTTTTTATTGTTTTTTTAAATAAGATCAAGACTTGTTGAAAAATGTACCAACCTTAAAATGAATAAATGTTGCTAATAAATGCATTTATAGCTAAAATAAATCTAAAGCATAATTTCCCCTTCCATTTATTATTGGCTAATCATAGCTTAACTAATTGAATATTGGATGTTCTGGGATACTTATAACTTTGAAAATGTTTTCATTCTAGTTATGTATTAATGTAGTTTTTCAGCTCTTTTTAAAGGCAGTGAACCAGTGAATCCATTTCTTCACTGGTGACTATGGAACACTGCAGGTAACACCTTTGCTATAACCAAACTAGAGCATTATTTGTGAGTTGCTTTTGTGTCAAATATCCAAAGTTGAGCCCATACCATGGTCTTGGAGGCCATAATTTAGTTCTGAAATTCCAAATTTTAGCCCTAAAATTTCTTTTATTTACCCTTAAATTCCTAATTTTAGCCCTAATTTTTTTTAAAAATTGCCCTAAAATTTGCCCTAATTTTTTGTCAGAAGGTGCTGGACAGCCTGTAAACGTTTACACGATTGTTAAAAACCGAAACAATACTGTTAAAATGGTGTTACTGTGTATTATACAATACCCAGTGCAAAACAATTACTTACTTTCTACTTTTAATACATGTACCAATAAATAATGTTCAGGGCTCATCGCTAGGGGATTGGCACACATTTTCTGCATGTATCCCCATTTGGCTCTTTTAAAAGATCGAGGGAAAATCCACTTTACCTAAAGAATTATTTAGTCATGTGAGGAGTTAAATTGTTAACACCCTTATTCTGGGCTGCTGACAATCATTGGCCAATCAGAGTGTTGCTTATATGCATGTAGAAGCTTGACAACACTATTGGTCTGAAACATGCTTGTTTATGTGGACAATTATTATGAACAAGGGTGTTGTATATATTAAACACGTTTGTTATTCTCTAATAAATGAAACATCGTACGGTCCATGTTTAACCAAAGGAAAAATTGTATGCTATAGAAGTTTCACACCCTTCAAAAAAGCCATATTTAGCTACGTTTTTTTTATAGACTTGCAAACTCTATCACCTTTCCTTTTACTGAAAATACTTAATAAGTCAATAAAAATTGATAAAAATCATATTATATGTGATAAGTAGGATATATTGATACTAAGACAATGTAGTCGTTTTGTTTAAATGGTAAAAAAATATTGTAAAAGTTTATGAATAAAAACCGAAACAAACACGTTTACACATACATGTACCTGTTGGGGCCTTAGACCTTTTCTGTAGTTACTGTTTTATGTTTGTCTAATGATTTGATTTTTTTTTTTAATTTTTTTTTCATGTTGATTTCTATTTTTTTTTCATCAGTATTTGATGACAAAATTTCAAGAAAACTTTGTTAAGCAGTGTGACAATTTTGTGATGTTTAGAAAAGAAATAACACCTGTTTCTATTAGATTATGTCATATGAATGTTACAACCTAAAGCACTCCAAATATATTGCAAGAAATAACACTTTTCATAAGGTGATTCCAATTGCCTTATTATAAACTCACACATGTCTTTTAGATCATAATTGTTAGTTACTGGTCAAGCTCTAGAACTGTTGCATGGATTTAACTAAAATGGTCCTCGCAAACATTTAAGTTGTTGATTGAAAACTACACATTTGTCTTTAATGTCTTAGGACTTAGATGTAGATATGATCCATAACACTAGCAGCATTACATTTTATGTAAAAATAACTTACTCCCCTTTGTTAACATAGAAAATACTTGCAAAGTGTTTTCTTACATATAATCATTATTATGGAGCACTGAGAATAGTCAAACACTTTGTATGTCTTGCAGCTCTAATTCTTGCTTTTATAATTATGTCTAGGGTTCTCAAACAGAAAAGCATAACAGACTTTTCTACAGCTACAAAGTCAGACAATGGTAACATGAGGGAACAAGGGAAAGAAGAAAAAGGTAAAGATAATTATGTTAGTGAAAATAGTAATTATGTTGACATGAATTAACATTAAACACTATACATATACGGTAATATATAACATAAAAATTTAGCTTCATTTGATGTGATTATTTCCCTGATATTTCATAACCCTCTTTTGTAGTTGTACAAATTAAAAGTTTCAGCAAAAGACCTCAAATGATCCTTCTTTTTTTTTTTAAATAATTCAAGTTGTTGCCTTTTGGTTATGAGATACATTCTGTTTTGGTTTAATTACTGATATATTAAAAACAGCTGTATCTTAACTGTTGCTATGTAAACAGATTGAGAGTTTTACTAATATTCATGAATGATTAATGTTTTAACAATTAATGGCCAACATTTCAAGAAATTTTTAACATGTACACAATTTTAGTGCCATCAAAAATATATTATTCTTAAAGTACAATGTACCTTACCTGAGACTACTTGGCCTTCTCCAGTGTTGGTTTAAGTCTTGCCAGTGACTTTGGATTTGTTCATGCAAGAAAGCTGTACAGCAGACTGGTCAGTGGTTCTACACAGTTCCACTGTCATGTGTAAAAGAATACCATTAGGGATGTATGTCATAATAATCATCATAACATTGTAGGTGTGATTGAAAATCCAACTGAAAAATGTTCTGCAGTAAATTACATGTCTTTATTAGGTACAGAAGTACATTCTTTCTGCCTCCTCCTGTCCCTTGTTTAATAAGGTTTTCAAAACATTCTTTCTGCTTCTGTCTCTATCAGTGGTTTTAGTCAGGTGCCTGTTCATGCTTGAAATAATGCTGTGGGGGGGGGGGCACCTAAGGGCTTCCTGTACGAGTAAAGCTGGAAAGTTGCGTGATGTAAAACCCAACCAAAACACACAAAAAGTATATTTTTAGTAAGTCCATGTTTTATTATGCCACCGCAGCATCTGCGATGCGGTGGCATATAGCGATTCACCTGTGTGTTTGTTTGTGTGTGTGTGTGTTATATAGATTATATAGTGAACTTAAAAAATCTTCTTGTGAAAAACCACTTGTCCAATTTCAACCAAACTTGGAAGGATTGATCCTTGGGTGAAGGGCTTCCAAAGTTGTTCAAAGAATTTCATTCCATGCAGAAATCTGGTTGCCATGGCAACCAAAAGGAATTATAAGAATAAATTAAAAAAATCTTCTTGTAAAGACCCAAAAGGCCTAGAGCTTAGATATTTTGCATAAGGCATTGTCTGGTAGACCTCTACCAAGATTGTTCAAATTATAACCCTGGGGTCAAAATCGGCCCCGCCCCGGGGGTCATTGATTTTCACTAAATGTACATATAGTAAAAACTTAAAATAACTTCTTGTAAAGACCCAAAAGGCCTAGAGCTTAGATATTTTGCATAAGGCATTGTCTGGTAGACCTCTACCAAGATTATTCAAACAATAACCCTGGGGTCAAAATCGGCCCCAACCCGGGGGTCATTGATTTTCATTATATGTACATATAGTAAAAACTTAAAATAACTTCTTGTAAAGACCCAAAAGGCCTAGAGCTTAGATATTTTGCATCAGGCATTGTCTGGTTAGACTCTACTCAGATTGTTCAAATTATAGCCCTGGGGTCAAAATCGGCCCTGCCCCTGGGGTCATTGGTTTTCCTTATATGTATATCGTCACCTTAGTGCAAGAACTCAATATCTGCTTCTTTATCTATATGCAGTTATTGAGTTTTTGCACTAAGGTGACGATATAGAAAAAACTTTATAGTAAAAAAATTTCTTCTAGCAAATGCTAGAGGTTAGATATTTTGCATGAAACATTGTGAAGTGAACTTCTAGCAAGATTGTTCAAATTATAGCCCTGGGGTCAAAATTGCCCCTGCCCCGGGGTCATTGATTTTCAATATATACATATAGTAAAAAATAAAAAAATCTTATTGTCTGAAGGTACAAGGCTTAGAGCTTGAATATTTGTTAAATGATATCATCTATAGGTACTCTACCAAAGTTGTTCAAATTTTGCCTCTTGTGTCAAAATTAGCCCCGCCCCATGGGCCATAGGTTTTCCTTATATGTATATAGTAAAAACTTAAAAAATCACCTTCTCTAAATTTACAAAGGCTAGAGTTAAGATATTTTGCATGAAACATTATGTAGTGAACCTCTAGCAAGATTGTACACATTATAGCCCTGGGGTCAAAAATTGGCCCCACCCCCAGGAGTCATTGATTTTTACTATGTACATATAGTAAAAAAAAAAAAGAAATATTTTTGTGTGAAGGTACAAGGCATAGAGCTTTGATGTTTGCTCTATAATATATTCTATGGGTTCTCTACTAAAGTTGTTTTAATTATGCCCCTAGTGTTAAAATTGGCCCTGCCCAGGGGCAGTGATTCTCATTATGTTCACATAGTAAAAACAGAAAATAAAACAAATCTTTTCTGAATAGGAGAAAGCTACAGCTTAGATATTTGACTTGAAATGTTGTTTGGTGGACCTGTATCAAGATTGTTTTGAATTAAACCCTTGGGTCCAAAATTTTGCCTTGCCCAAGGGGACAGTGACCTACTTTCTTGTCCTTTAATGTACAGCAATGAAATTTTGACCATGTGCACAGTTTTAGTTGTAAAATTGAACTTTGATATCAGGTGAACTAGATTTTGATGATGTGACCTACTTTCTTGTCCTTTGATGTACAGCTATGAAATTTGAACCATGTGTACAGATTAAGATTTTAAGTGAACTTTGATTTCAGCTGACCTAGATTTTGACAAAGTGTCTTACTATGTTGTCCTTTGATGTAGTCATGAAATTTAGGCTGTGTGAAATATGACCTTCACCACCAAATTCACTAGACTCAAGTGCATTGATATATTCCTACTCTGATCTTTTATTGAGTTAACAACAGATTTAACCACTAATCTGATAATAAGAATTAGATAGGTCAGGGATCTATGCATTATGACAATCTTCAAAATTGTATAGAAACAAATAAAATCTGTTCCTACACTACTATTTAGTGTTGTATTAATGCGGTGGCATAGCATTTTTCTCAAATGCAATCTTGTTAAAATATTATATATTTCTATTTTACAGAGGAATTTGAATTCTTTTTTGGTCCAAAGTTTGTATTTAGTCAGTTCCACCCAGCCAAGTTTGTGGTAGAAAAAGTAACTTACAACTGTATGGAACAATACATGCACCATCAAAAAGCAGGTTTGTATAAGATTGAAAAATGTTTCTATGGGTTGGCATAATCCGCATAAGATCATGATGTATCCTAAATGTTTGGGAGACATATTGTTTTTGCCTTAACCATCTATTCGTCCATCTGTCTGTCTGTCCTCATTCAGATTATTGGCACATTTTGCTTTGCTGCACAAAATGGCCGCCAGAGCTAAAAATAGAAAAAAATCATGTCTGGCTTTCACAGGTCAAACTGCTGGTGGAATTTCAATGAAACTTGACAAGAGTGATCAGTACTATCCGTAGTTGTGCACATTGCACGCTGCACAAACTGGCTGCCTGAGCTAAAAGTAGAAAAATCTTGTCCAGCTGTCACAGGTCAAACTAATGATGGGTTTCAATGAAACTTCACAGGAGTGATCAGTACCATCCCTCGTTGTGCATATCACAAGGACGATCAGCTTTGCTGTCCAAAATGACTGACCAAGCTATAAATAGAAAAATCTTGTCAAATTGCTTGCGGTATTTCAATGAAACTTCACAGGAGTGATCAGTAACATCCCTCATTATGCATATGACAAGCACAATCTGCTTTGCTGCACAAAATGGCTGACAGAGCTATAAATAGAAAAATCTTATCCTGTTTTTACAGGTCAAACAGCTGGTGGGATTTCAATTAAACTTCAGGAGTGATCAATTACCATCTCTAGTTGTGTATATAGCCGGCAGGATTTCCACATTACTTTACATGAGTGAACAGTACCCTCCCTAGTTGTATATAATGCTGGCACGTTCACCTGCTGCACAAAATGGCCACCAGATTGATAAATAGAAAAATTCTGTGTTGCTTTCATAGGTCAAACTGCTTGTTGAATTGCTGCCAAACTTCAGGAGTGATCAGTACCTAGTTGTGGGTGATATGTTTTTGTCACAAAAAACCCTTCTAGTAATTATTTTGCATCATATAATATAATGTATTCCTTACAGAATCAGTTTCCTGTTATATTATATTTTGTTTAGTTTAATTGTATAGAAAGCTTATCCTGGAATCAATATGTACTGGTCAAGCAATGAGTGTAAAGTTTCTTACCCAAGGAAACAATTGGCTTGACCATGACGGTGTGCAAACCCACTTGGCTGGCAATTGATGCATTAACCACTCAGCCACAATGCCACTAAATGTATCTTGTTAAATATCTTCTTTGATGTGTTATAAGGTAAATAAAGTTAAATTGCTTTTATGTTCAATTTAAGTTTATGCAAAATTTAACTAAAACATACTTTTTAGTCACCTTTAAGGACGCAGAACGTGAAAGGGCAATTCTGACGGAAACAGACCCCAAAAAACAAAAGAAACTGGGAAGGCAGGTCACACCTTTTGATAAAGCTGTTTGGGGCAGGAAATCTGTAGCAGTTGTAAGAAAAGGAAGCCTGGCAAAGGTTAGTTTTATAGTAAATTCTTTAAGATGTTCCACTCTGAATGATTAAATTCAAAAGTTAAAAAAAAAATTTGTTTTGACTTATTTGATTTTTTTTGGATCGCAGAGAGTTTTTGATTACTATTGATGAGACAGTATGAAGACTTTCCAAATTTATTACTGCATGTTTTCACACAAAGCATAAGAACAGTGAGCTTGCTGTAGAAGGAAATTTCAAGTGAATGAGTAGTTATATCATAAAAACAAAATTGAGCCGTGTCACGACAAAATCATCATAATGGGTTTGCGACCAGCATGGATCCAGACCAGCTTGCGCATCCGCGCAGTCTGATCAGGATCCATGCTGTTCGCTTACAAACCCTATTGCAAGTAGAGAAACTGATAATGAACAGCATGGATCCTGATCAGACTGTGCGGATGCGCAGGCTGGTCTGGATCCATGCTGGTCTCAAACCCAGTATGTTGGTTTTGTCATGACGTGGCTCAAATCTTAAAACATGCTTATAGCAATTCTAATTATATAAATGTATAAGTTTAAGGGTCTAATAGTATGAAAAGAATGATTGTTAACAGTCTTGCATTTCTTGGTTAAGATCTCTAAAGACTAAATCAAATGGGCATTTGCATGAATGATTAAATAATCATGTCATGATATTTGAAAACCTGATTTTGTATGTCTCGGGACACTAAACAGTAAGACAGGTTGTTTACGGTATATGTAGGTTGTTATGAACTAGGTACGTCTATAAGCATATATTTATTTAAATGATAAAGGTATGTTGAACAATCTGCTCTGGACAGTTGCCTGCTGATAGACATATATTTACTCTATGAATTGCTTGGAAAGGATTATGTTGAAAATATTTAAGCTCCTGTAGCGTTTGGACTGTACCTTTATAAAGGGTGATAATTGTTTGATGAAATTGAAGTATATTTAGCTATGGACAATTGTAATTGAATATATGCTGACATTGTCTTGAACAATTTGATTCAAATTATGTAAATTGTAATAACTAGCTTGTCATAATAAATACAGAAATAGTTTGATTTTATAAGTTCATAAGATAGCTAATTAAGTATGCTTAACAATGATGTTATATATTTCAGTATCGACAGAATCCAAAAATGAAAGAGGCCCTTTTTGCAACATACCCGAAAACACTTGTTGAGTCCAGTCCAAGAGATAGACTTTGGGGTATTGGTATGGGGAAAAGCAACCCAAAAGCACAAAACAGAGCTACCTGGCGTGGTAAAAATCTCCTTGGTGACACACTCACTGATGTTCGAAATAAAATGATGGCTGAAGAAGGGTTGGTTCCTGGACCAGGAAGCAATGATCAAGGAGTTGCATGTCAGACTACAGGTACAGAACACAAAGCTTCCTGTGAAGTTAGTGTAAAAGTTGAAGGTAAATCTAATAAAACTCAAACTGACACACAAACACATAGAGAATCTGCTTCCGTTTCACTGAAAAGTAAAGGAGAAACAAAAGATACCCAACCAATATTAATTAACAAATCTGAAATTACTCCAACTAAAGAAAGCAAGAAAAGGTCAAAGGATCGAAAGACACCCTCTAAAGATAAGGAAATAGGTTCATCATCAGATAAACAAACTAAAGCGGGAGATACAGTCTTAGATGATAAAACAAAACATACACCATCAAAGAAAAGGAAAATAACACCTTATGATGTAGAAAAAACATCTAAAAATGAAGGGAAACAAACTCCATCAAGAGGGCATTCATCTTCAAAGAAACGAAAGACTGATGATGAAAATCAAGAGAAACAGTCCCTAGGCAAAAAAGAACACACTCCAGCAAAGAATACAGGAGACTATGTATCATCAAAGAAAAGGAAATTAGAACTTGATAACGAGGAAAAGGAAACTAAAGATAACAAGGATGAAACTCATTTGAGAGAAAAGGTATTACATTCATCTTCTAAGAAAAGGAAAACTTATGTAAGTCTTGAAAAACAATCTAAAGACAGGGACGAACAGAGCCTTTCAAAAAATATAGGAAAACACTCATCCTCAAAGAAACAAGAGAGTGATACACTATCAAAAGAATCAAGGGAACTTACACCATCAAAAGATAATGGAAACCATTCTTCTTCAAAGGAACAAAAGACTGATGAAAAATTGGATAAATTATCTAAGGAAGGAAGGGAACATATGCCATCAAAAGATAAAGGAAAACATTCATCATCAAAGGAACAAAAGACTGATGAAAAATTGAAAAAATCATCCAAGGATAGAAAGGAACATACACCATCAAAAAATAATGGAAACCATTCATCATCAAAGGAGCAAAAGACTCATGAAAAATTGGAAAAATCATCCAAGGATAGAAAGGAACATACACCATCAAAAGATAATGGAAACCATTCATCATCAAAGGAGCAAAAGACTCATGAAAAATTGGAAAAATCATCCAAGGATAGAAAGGAACATACACCATCAAAAGATAATGGAAACCATTCATCATCAAAGGAGCAAAAGACTCATGAAAAGTTGCAAAAATCATCCAAGGATAGAAAGGAACATACACCATCAAAAGATAATGGAAACCATTCATCATCAAAGGAGCAAAAGACTCATGAAAAATTGGATAGATTGTCTGAGGACAAAGAAAAACATACCACATCAAATGATAAAGAAGAACCAACCCCATCAAGTGATAAAGGAAATCCTTCATTAACAAAGGATCAAAAGACTGAAGATGATTCATCATCAAGTGATAAAGGAAATCCTTCATTAACAAAGGATCAAAAGATTGAAGATGATTCATCATCAAGTGATAAAGGAAATCCTTCATTAACAAAGGATCAAAAGACTGAAGATGATTCATCATCAAGTGATAAAGGAAATCCTTCATTAACAAAGGATCAAAAGACTGAAGATGATTCATCATCAAGTGATAAAGGAAATCCTTCATTAACAAAGGATCAAAAGACTGAAGATGATTCATCATCAAGTGAAAAAGGAAATCCTTCATTAACAAAGGATCAAAAGACTGAAGATGATTCATCATCAAGTGATAAAGGAAATCCTTCATTAACAAAGGATCAAAAGGCTGAAGATGATTCATCATCAAAAAATAAAACACTAATATCTGAAGAAATGAGAGAGCAATGTAAGGATGAAGATGCACATTTAACAGAAGAAAATGAACAAAATAAATCTATAGAACACGAGAAAACAATAGAAGATGAATCACAGGAGACATCTTTAAAAGAGATTGAAAGGTCAAATGATGATGTCATTCAATGATCACAGAACCAACAATTCTTGTCCAAGGAAACATAAAATATATCTCACGATGGTCGATTGCGATGTTGGAACTTAAAGATTAAAAAGAAGAAATATCAGATAATTCAGAGAGTAGTAGTACAGTGAAAAACATTTTACTAATTCTGTTAATGTTGTGTTTTTTTTAAAGAAACAAAAATGATAGTATTAATTTAAACAATGCTTTTCCTTAAAATGATTTGAAGGGATATATGAAATGAAGAAAAAACAAATTATATTGAGAATTTAAGATCAATTAAGATTGGTTTGACAAATACGAGGAGTCCTAGATAATAATGGTATGTGGTGACTTGTATTTGTATTGTAATTTTCTGACTTATATTAATTATATTGATTATAGATACATTTAGTTAAGTTGACACATGTTGTAGATTAAAACATTCAGTTGTTGTGATTTTCTTGTATTAATGAAATTCATGTTTTAGATTTAGACTTTTTAGTGTGTTTCATCGGAGAACAAAGTTCTTACAATGTGCTATTGTGACTAATCTCTGTCTGTTGTCTTTTTTTTTTAAAAAAATTTTTTTTCTTTAACAATGGGGAAAAAATCATCAAAAAAAAAACAAAATTTTTTGGGGGGTTCTCCCTTTTGTCAAATTCAAAATTAAATTTTTAAACCAAAGGGGAAATTTTTAATTAGAAAGAATTGGGTAAGAATTTTAAAGGAAAAAAAGTATTTTATTGGGGCAAAAATTTGGAAAATTATTTAAATAAAAGCCTTTAGAACATGATTTTTAAATTTAAAATGGGGGTTTTTTTTTCAAATTTTTTCCATAATCTACCAAAATTATATTAAAATTTTGAGTCATAAAATTTTTTGGGTATTTTCTTTGTTTTTGAAAAAGTGCATTGTATTTTTTTTATTTAAAATCAAAATACCACTTTGTTTACATTTCTTTATACCTTAACAACGCATCATTCGATGTTCAACGCTACTTTTTCAGTTATTGAATATCTAACATGCTCTTAAACCATTATACAATTCAATTTTCAATTTCAATTATAAAAACATTATTGAACATATGTTTGACATTTCTGAAGAATTATGAAATTGTATATCTGAGGAATAATGTGCATTTAAATGAGTTTACTGATGCACTGGTTGTTTAAAATTCTTTAATGTATGTGTAGATCTGTATCTGTATATGTAGATCATTGGTTAGTAATAAACATAATAATTTTTATTTGATGAGTTTTAATCTACAGGTTTTAAAATTTAAGATACATTTTGGATATATTTTAATTTATATCCCGAACACCATCACGTCTTTTATTATAGCCGAGTCCCCATAAAGAAAAAAAATACTATATATCTTCATGATTTTTTAGCTATCTGTCATATTTTCTCATAGTGTTTTGATTTATTGATAGATTGGCCAGATCTTTGATATTTGTAATGAATGTACCTGGATTGACTTACAGTCAATGTCTATGTCACTGAGGTTAAGGTTACAATAAGAAAAGACATTTCCTCATAGAGCTTTTATCATTTATTGACCGATTTCTAGATATTTTGAAGATAGATAACTTTATTAGGACTTTAATTGACCAGACCAAGGCCATGGTTACAGGCTAGAATTGATTTTTCTACTTGTCTGTAGTTGGCCTTGTGTCGAAAACGAGTTAACATTTTTTCCAGCAAGGTTTTATTAAAATAAACAAAAACAAACATTTAAAATTTAAAAAATTTTTTTGCAAATATTTTATATGTTATTGGTTTTTTTACCACACCTACATTTTTATTTATAAATAATCGGAAAAAGCTGGAAGATCGATCTTTGGCAATTTAAAAAATTTTTTAGATTTTGTTTTGAAATGGGAGGGGGCCCCCCGGGGTCATATTTTTGGATCAAAAGCTTCCTGTTTTATTTTTAAAAATGACCGAGGTGATTAAAGAAATCTAAAAAGGGTTTCCGATGCTGCCACACCGCAGGGTGAAGCCAAAAAGCGTGGTTTGAATGCCTTTTAGTTTGTAAAATTATATGAAAACAGCTAAAATACTATTCTTTTAAGTCTGTTTAAAAAGAAAATTTCGTTTTATTATAAGTAATTTAAGTTTAAACTCATAGTAAATGTTAAAAAAATAATCTAACCATTTAAAACAAAAACGATTAAAATTTTAAAGTTTTACCACAATATTTAAAATGTTGTGTCCATTTTTAACCGACATTGATGAATAAACCCGCCATTTTGGGAAGAGCTGGGCCCCAAAAAACAAAAAAGAAGCCTGGGGGGAATTAATAAAACACATTAAATGGGTTATCAAAACGACGAAACAAACCTTTCAAAATAAGATCAATATTTTTAACTTTTAGCGATTGAAAGTTAACGATTATTGTAATTCTAACTATACAATGCTTTAAATAAAAATATTGTAAAGAGACGAATTTTATATTACCTTTATACGGCATACATTTATACATGCTTTGGTTTTTTACCTGTAAATAACAAGTGTAAGCCGATTTAGACTGGTTTTGGCATCGTTGTCCTTTTTAATCATCGCCACAATCTATTCATAAGTGAACATTACGCAAAAGAATCGATTAGTAATTTTCCGTTACGATTGTAGAATGTTGCTATAACAGCGACAGGTAATAGGCTCTTTCAATCGTATTTATCTAGCAATTTTTCAATTAAGTGCCGGCGAGTGACAAAAAGATCTATTATCTGTAAATGCGTTGATCATGTCCAAGTTTATCAACGCAGCTTGCGAAAGTACTACGTGGTACAGGAAATCAGAAAATGGGACGAATGTGTACAGTGAAGTACCATAAATATCATTACAGCAATGTCAAGTAGGAAAGGTTGACATAAATGAAAAATATAAAGACAGAGCAACTTTAATTATTATACAACAAAATAATAAAATTTTTGGTTAAAATTTTTACCCAATCTTTTCACAAAAAACTTTTCATAATTCCGGAAAGTTTTTTTCCTTTAAAAGGCAAAAAAGGTATTCCAATTTTAAAACTTGACCTGGGGCTTTATAAATTTTAAGTCTTGCTTGACTAACCAATCTGGGGTTTGAAGGGTTTTTTTTTTTTAATATAAAAAAAGCAAACGTTTAACACAATTACATTGTACTATGATTATGATTACCTGATATTTGTTGATATTTTTTTTATCTTTTTCTTCTAGATCTATTTATAGAGCAACATTCCTGAAAATAAATGATGATGTGGCAACATTTTATCAAATTACTTTATTATTAGACCGACATTTTTGTGTCCACTGACATTTTTCACCGTAAATAAGTTAATGGCAGTCGTCTGTACAGCCATATAAGAGATGTCATAAAACAGCACCGAGAAAGCAGGTCGATGGTGGCTTTTTGTTTGTCCTCAGTGAGTTCATTAATGGCTTCAAAAGAACATTGTAGCGTTTTATTACCCACCATGGTCATGAAGTGATGATCCCATCCAAGCGATGCTTGTAACATGTAAGCGTTTATTGAATATTGATTTACAATGAACACAAAATATATCCGAATCGAAAGCGTTGCCAAGCTCCAGTGTACGGAAGTGACTCTAACCTAGGCACATATCATTTCCATTGTTGATTATTTGTTAGTTCAAAAAATAGTAACATAGAAACACTAAAACGTTTACAGAACAATGTCACTAGCCCTTTGGCATGAAACAGTAGCGTTTTAACGAGTTTAAATTTAATGTCAATCGATGCAAACCTTAGAGGATTTCTCCCACATTACATCTAAAATCACAAAGAAATCTTCTACATACATATTAGTTTTATTACACATCAAAAGAGAGAATATGCCTGATGGCATAACGCACGATTGCTATTTTGTGCGTTACCCGTGGGAACAAAAAGTGAACTTTTCCACCGATTATTGCAAAACATCGCAAATGAAGTGCACACTTCATTTTAAAAACATTTTATATTATATTTTTATGATTACGAAAATAAATGAACATATAGGTACATATTATGTAACTTTTGTGGACCATGTTTACTGGTGTTTAAAAAACGTTATACATTTTTCAAAATCGTTTTTCTATTTATGTTTAAATACCGATTTTGTTGACCTAGTCACCTATAAAGCGAGTATTTGTTTTAAAAGTACGTTGCTGCAACAGTTACATAAGGTACCACGGTGCTTTATCACTATTAACTCTCGTGAAAGATAAATTGTCAAGCCGTTGACGATATCGGCGGAAAGTGATGCGGGAACCAGTTAATTATTACCCACATCCTCTCCGACCTCATCTTCAGTAAATAAAGTTATCAGAAAACTTGTTATGGACTATCAGACAAGTGCGAGTTAGCTCACAAACCAACTTCTTTCGTTATGTAACGGAGGGATGGTTAATCTATTTCTAAATTTGTGTTACAACAGGCAGAATTGGTACATTGATTTTCTATAAATGCAAAAAAAAAATCATATATTCGTTATATATCAAATTGATGAACATATTAAGTGTTTTTCATTTAACTGATAATTTAATACAGATTGTGATTTTTAAGGTGTTGTAAAAAATTTGATTGCAAAGATTACAAACGTCAGTTGATTTTGCACAAGCAGTTTTTGAAGAAGTTTGAACAACCCTTTCACAGGGTCATTTTTCTGAAGATAGCCTGCTATTGTAGAATAACAGTTTATTCAAAATGACGAAAAACAAACACATTACTGTTTATAATGGGAATTTCGAGATATGATAATTAAGAAAAATAGAGGATTAACATTTGCTGAAAATTTCTTTTTTTAATTTTCTGGAACGTTGGGTAAATTTCTACTACGTGTGCTCGCAATAAAGGATACCAGTTGAATTAAATAAGCGTGCAATAACGCATACAGAGATCGGAAATAACATGTAGGTGCTTATGCTCGTAATATAAGCCACTGACTCGCAATAAATGATACAGTGATTGATAAAGTGATTTCGTTAAGCATACAAAATTGAACCGAACATTTTGATGTTCTTTCTATCGATAGAAAAAACAAAATGCCTAGGAATGATTCGCTTTGATTATATATGATTAAAATCGTGTTTGCAATTTACTTTAATTTTGAACGTACTCAAATGACATATAAATGTTTGAATTAAGAAGCACAATATATACTTGTTACATGAAAAAAAAACTATTTTTATTTTATTTTTAAGTTCCGATTTTAAAGTATATATACGTTTTTAATATATGTAGAAATTCGAGCAATATTAGGAGATTTTGGGGGGTTTTTTTTACGAATATATCAATTTATCTATTGGAAGGCAGTGGTCAATTGTATTTCACGGAAGTAAACATTGTAATACCTATATTCATAACACATTCGCAGAAATCTTCATCAATATACTCTAGACAACTTTTACTTTTCTAAACTCTTTGATGAACTGGATTTTGATTATCCCTGTTCTACTTTTTATTCTATTTTGAATAATAACAAAACGTTAATTGCAAATTCTTGTTGCGTATAACGTTGTGATAACTTTCAGTTTATTTCGTTATTTATCAATTAATCATTAATCTTTGATAACAGATGGACACAAAATTGTCAATAAAT